TGTCGCCCATCGGAGACCACACTGAGCCCGCGGAAACCATTGCCACGATTTGACAACTTCCACAACACCCTCGAGCACCAGCGTTCAACCCGGTATTCCGCTCCATCTGTTCAATCACTTATGCATAAAGCTGTACCTGCCTAACGCCACGTTTTTGCAGACTCCCTCTCACTAATTTGTTTGAAAAACATCTGACTTCGCAAATATTTCCAATATTCATTAATCGTACAACTTTCGTTCAATGCATTATTCTCTTATAAACCACTTCATCGTCACGAACAAGCTATTTCCTACTCAAAAAAACTGTCCCTTCCACTCTCCCATCGACTATGTACTATAATTAAAAGACTTTTTTTTATAAATGTCGCATTTATTATAAACTTATAATATCGATGATTTCTCGCACCGGTTAAAGAAATCTTCACGTGGCACACAGGGGACGCGGCCCCCACAGTGAGAAACACTGACGCAGAGCACAAAATTATTCATGAAATTATTTCTTCCATACGCACAAGTTAGCAGGGATCATAACCGGTTTCATGATAAAAAAATATATCAGTGTCCACCAGCTGTTTCCTGCGTGGCAACAATTTTAATTCATAGAACTGCCGCTATGCGGCGCCACAGGGAAAAAGTATTCAACGAAAATAATATTCACACGACTTACAACAAGCGATTTCGTGTTATTATCTGATTTAATTTATGTAAAACCGGAGAAGACGAGGTATTTTCGTTAATAACTTTAATACAATCAGAAAATAAGTTCGACTTGTGGTTTTGACAGTGGTGAGGATTTTAAAGTTGACTCTCACTGAGAGGGAACGACGCACACCACAGCATCGACTCGTTATCAGAGCCGTGATGTCTGGACTAAAACGCGATTGGTATGACCACAGATTAGAGAGACCATCGGTGGGCTACAGCAGAGCAAAGCCTGTGGAATCCATCGTCTAAAGCTAAAAAATCTTGTACGTATGAGATAAGAAATTTATAATAAGAGACTTTATTATCATTCAATGCGAGATAAAGAAGCCATAACGAGAACCTCGTCAATAATTCATATGCCAACGACGTTCAATTGCAATTCTGCTTGTGTATGGAATGTCAGTTACTACTTCCAAGAAACTTTCAAGAAACACGTACTACATTCGCTGGATATAAGGTATGTTCAACATACTAACATCCCTCCGCTTTTAATGAGCTCTTTGTGCCATCAAATTGTCAGTCAAGTTCCTCATACATTTCGTCACATCTGTAAGTGTAAAACATTCAAATTCAAACACTCTTAAGTGAGAGATAGATTTCCTATTGCGGTATACGAGCTTGGATCTTCTGTATCCTACACGAACGTCTTAAACACTTATTCAAGTCAACTCTGCCCTTTATAGAACGACCTTCAGAACAATTTTAATTACTTCGTTAACAAGAAGGCGTAATTAAAACTCAATAAAGCTTGAGTTCCACAAATACATTCACAAATAATCTGTCTTTCATATCAGGAGAACGCGACAAGAAATGTAGGTGTCCCAAAAATATGTATACAATAATAACTGTGTTATACATCTTTTTGGAACATCCTGTTATTCGATGTTGTTCTTATTCATTGGTTTCAAATATGCCCTGTTGAAGAAATGTACAGCAAACCCTCATCCAAATGCAGAGATCTTTCAACCCCTTTTCGTCTCTCAAACTCTGTAATGAATCAAAGAAAAACTTTGAGGTTATGACATCAAATTAGAAATATTCTATATCAGTTGTGCGACGCACTAGGAGTTGGCCTAACATCCCGTTTATGTTTTACTGATGCTTCTATCCGATTTATTTTTTTTCAAACAGTTTCTTCACAAACAAATACCATTACATAAAAATAATTTTATACACTTTAAATTTTCAAGGTCGCGTTCCCGTATCCCCATTAATCCCATACAAAATTAAGTTCGTTCAACACGGATTCACCGAACGGAAGATGACATGCTTATTTCGCAATCACGTGACGACCCTTTGATGCTAGTGAGCCTTCGTGAGCTTAATAGAATTAGGCTCAGAGCGGAAGCGAAGTCCAGGACCGACCTCGAACTACTTCCCGTGCTCTGGGTTAAAAACACATTCGTTGCTACACCGAAATATGAACGCGATCCCTATCGCTAACTGCAACAATTTCTGTTGGGAATTTCCGAAAAGGAAGTTGTAAGGAGGGGGCCGGAAGCGAATGATGACACTGTGATTGTGGATGTTTGCAGTCTGTCCACACTTTATTTAATCCTAACTTACAGATTATCGTATCCTTCCGCATTGCATTAAGGTTATTCGTCCTCCAAGTACAGAAGTACTCACCAAATTATTTTCACGATAAACGTGTAGTCAGAGCCAATTTGGAAAATTGGTTGATGATCATTTGCTGTTAAGGGTTTTTGGACCTAGGATAATAATATTTAGGGCTGTGCGTTTCCTTCATTAGATTTTCCCGTCATAAATTACGGGCAATTTACTGGAACAGAGTACGATGTTCAAAACATAACTGAAACATTACAATATAAGATTACTAATCTGGAGTCTTCAACAAATAATCTATTATTTGGGTGATCGTGGAGGATGGTATTAGCGGAAGATTACCATACCTGGGGTAAGGAAGAAATTGTAAAAAAAAAATGTTAATGAGATGATAAAGTTGCGTCATATTGTGATAAATATATATTTGTTTAAATCTTGTCAGTCTGATCACAATAAAATTCCTATTAAATATTAAAATATTACTATAATTAACATTTAAATATTTAAATGTTAATTATAATAATATTTTAATATTTAAATGTTAATTATAGTAATATTTTAATATTTAATAGGAATTTTATTGTGATCAGACTGACAAGATTTAAACAAATAAAAAAATGTTAATTTAAAAACATGAACGGAATAGACCGCTTCGGATATCTATGAGGATAGGATAATATTAAAATAAATCTTTAAGAAACATGATGTTAGGATGTAGACTGGATTGATCTTGCTTAGGCTAGGTCCCAGTGGCGGTCTATCGTGAATCCGAAAACATGTCTTTGGTAGTAATTACTTGACTGAGCGACTATCCGTTTCACGGAGCAAATTCAAGACTTAAAATATCTCAGCAGGCAGCTTCAGGCCCGCGAGCCATAATTTGCAAACCCGCCGTCTTGGAGGGGGGGGCATAGACTACAACGGATATTAAGGAAACCACGACTGCTATAAGTTACGACATTTCTCAAGCTGTTCACGGGGAAAACTTTCCTTGTGCGAGCGGCTCCAGTGAATGGTTTATCACGACAGTAGAGTAGTGACACTCCAACTATCACTTGGGAAAGACGTCTAGTTCTGCGCACAAATGGCTGCCTCGCGTAAACACGACACCGTGAATGTACTGTATATAAAAGAAATTAAGTGAACTTTAAAAAGGTAATTCTGATATCTCATCTTCTTTTGTCAGTTTCGCACTGCACAGCTGAAGCATTATTATAATAAGAACTCTGAAGGAGGGTGTTTGCCAAACTGGTACGTGTTTACAATTTGTTTTAGTCAGAATAATTTACGCCGATAACTGAAGCAGCACGGTCTAAAATCCGCACTGATTTGTACAGTTTAGATACTGGGTTCGAATTTCGCTTTGGACATACAGTTTTGCCAGGAGTTTTCTGTGTTGTATGCAGATAAGAAGACTTACAAGCCAACGACATGTCGGAATGTCTAACGCATTCATTTTTTTTCAGTTTCACTGTTTACGTCAAAAATTAAAAAAAATCCGTCATTAGACTCTGATTCAATAATGGATTATATACAATATACTGATTATAATGCTGTCTTTTAGACCTGACATTTAAAAAAAGTAGGAGTCAGATTTATATGGTCAGTGTGTCTCTGTGAGCCTTCGTTTGACGTGCTGAAAATAACGGGAATTTTTGGGTGTTTTATACAAATACATTTATAGTTTAGATGCGTCATGTTTGTGTTTTCAATTCATACATATATTTATTCTTCAAGTCTATACACAAACTATATTAATATTGATGTTAAAAATTAAAATTGATATAAATATTTCGCGCTATTCATCGTTTCCTCGATGTTACAATTTGCGCTATATATTACAACATGTTTCGATGTCTCAGCATCATC